GGGGACTTACAGTACATCAGCGTGTATACGAGGCCGGGATATGGGGGGGGGGACTTACAGTACATCAGCGTGTATACGAGGCCGGGATATGGGGGAGGGGACTTACAGTACATCAGCGTGTATACGAGGCCGGGATATGGGGGGGGGGACTTACAGTACATCAGCGTGTATACGAGGCCGGGATATGGGGGAGGGGACTTACAGTACATCAGCAGTTCATTGTACAGCTTCATGGATGTGATGTCAAATTTCAGCTGGAACTTGTGATCGATCTTCAGTGTGTTCACATCCCAGGCAAAGACATGGCCGCCCGCACTGCAGGAGTACGCCAGCCTGCGACACAAAGCAAGGAACGTCAGACACAATGAGAGGACATTATTATTATTATTGCGTTCCCCAAAGTCCACACAGAGCTTGAGATCAGATTAGAAGCATCCCCTGCATCTTTGGAGAGATACTGTCAGGCTGTGCTTATGCAGAGGAATGCCGGGACAGTAACTATTCTTATAAGAACACCAAGTCTGATCATGTGATCACAGTGAAGGCCAGACATGCTCCCGCCCCACATAGTTCTGGATATTTTATAATCAAGCTCATTAAAAGAAACCTGGCAGGGGCCCTAACCCTTCTACACTCTATGCTTTAGCTTTAGATCAGGGGTCTCAAACCTCCGGCCCTCCAGCTGTGGTGAAACTACAAATCCCATGATGCATCTCTCTCCGGGAGTCATGTCTGTGGCTGTGAGAATCTTGCAATGCCTCATGGGATTCGTAGTTCCACCACAGCTGGGGGGCCGGACCCCTGCTTTAGATCCTTTATAAAATAGGCTGAAGCATTCCTTCCCCCGGAGACTCGGCTCTCACCTCTTCTGAGCATCGCCGGCTTCAGGAACGATGTCCACTACCTCGTGCCGGTGGTCACTTAGCTGCTTGTTACAGGACATACTGTGGATGTTGATGATGTAAATGATGGAATCACTCGATCCGATCCACACATGAGTCGGGTCCACGGCCACCATACAGCGCTAGAGGGAGACACAGCGTTACACGTGTGACATACATACACACGCCACATATAACTGGGGTGCGCTACCACCATACAGCACTAGAGGGAGACACAGCATTACACGTGTGACATACACACACACGCCACATATAACTGGGGTGCGCTACCACCATACAGCGCTAGAGGGAGACACAGCGTTACACGTGTGACATACATACACAGACCACATGTAACTGGGGTGCGCTACCACCATACAGCGCTAGAGGGAGACACAGCGTTACACGTGTGACATACATACACAGACCACATGTAACTGGGGTGCGCTACCACCATACAGCGCTAGAGGGAGACACAGCGTTACACGTGTGACATACATACACAGACCACATGTAACTGGGGTGCGCTACCACCATACAGCGCTAGAGGGAGACACAGCGTTACACGTGTGACATACATACACAGACCACATGTAACTGGGGTGCGCTACCACCATACAGCGCTAGAGGGAGACACAGCGTTACACGTGTGACATACATACACAGACCACATGTAACTGGGGTGCGCTACCACCATACAGCGCTAGAGGGAGACACAGCGTTACACGTGTGACATACATACACAGACCACATGTAACTGGGGTGCGCTACCACCATACAGCGCTAGAGGGAGACACAGCGTTACACGTGTGACATACATACACAGACCACATGTAACTGGGGTGCGCTACCACCATACAGCGCTAGAGGGAGACACAGCGTTACACGTGTGACATACATACACAGACCACATGTAACTGGGGTGCGCTACCACCATACAGCGCTAGAGGGAGACACAGCATTACACGTGTGATATACATACACAGACCACATATAACTGGGGTGCGCTACCAACATATACCGCTAGAGGGAGACACAGCGTTACATGTGTGACATACATACACAGACCACATGTAACTGGGGTGCGCTACCAACATATACCGCTAGAGGGAGACACAGCGTTACACGTGTGACATACATACACAAACCACATATAACTGGGGTGCACTCCCACCATACACCTCTAGGGGGAGACACAGCATTACACGTGTGATATACATACACACGCCACATATAACTGGGGTGCACTCCCACCATACACCTCTAGGGGGAGACACAGCATTACACGTGTGATATACATACATACACAAACCACATGTAACTGGGGTGCACTCCCACCATACACCTCTAGAGGGAGACATGGAGAAATATGTCTGACATTACAGATAGGAGGAACTAGTCAATAAGTGCGATTTATTGCTCGTCTATGCATCAGGTCCTCCATGTCAACATGCCTTCCCCACCACTTCCTGTTCGTGACAGCAGTTTAACTAGACAGGAAGTGAGGGACAATGTGCAACAGAAACCCAGTCAGAAGTAAAAATCTGAAGGGGTTCTAGCCCACCTCTACTCTACGAAAGAGAAGCATTGTTATTTATGTGTGTGTTGCCATTTGGAAATTCCCCTCACTTCTGGTCTGATAAAACGTTCTCAGCGGGACAGGAAGCGAGGGTAAATCTCAGTAATAGAGCCTTAGGCTGGGTTCACACCTGGACGTTTTTCCGCGCTTTCGTACTCACGGAAAAACGCTCAAACAGGGAAATGCCATTATTTTCAATGTGCATGGTTCCCATCTGGGCGGTTTTCCGTGAGTACGAACGCGCGGGAAACCGCCCTACGCCCAAAGAAGTACATGTACTTCTTTGGGGCGTTTTGGTCAGGCGTTTCCATTGGGATACAGCCAAGTAGCCCTCGGAAACGTGTGTTTTTCGCGCGTTTTTTTTACAGCGAATCGCGGTAAAAAAACCGCGCATATTCAATACGCCTAGGTGTGAACCCAGCCTTAAACAGCAGGAAAAACCCAGCAGATGTTCTGATCCTTCCCTACTCTAGTCACATCTAAGATACATTCTACATAGACATACGCTTTACCATTGAATGATGGCCCATTGTATCCATTACACCCATTGTACCCATAAGGCAGTACTGCCTAGTGCCGCTCACCTCTCCTCGCGACGCTCGACTCTCCTCGCGACGCTCACCTCTCCTCGCGACGCTCACCTCTCCTCGCGACGCTCACCTCTCCTCGCGACGCTCGACTCTCCTCGCGACGCTCGACTCTCCTCGCGACGCTCGACTCTCCTCGCGACGCTCGACTCTCCTCGCGACGCTCGACTCTCCTCGCGACGCTCGACTCTCCTCGCGACGCTCGACTCTCCTCGCGACGCTCGACTCTCCTCGCGACGCTCGACTCTCCTCGCGACGCTCGACTCTCCTCGCGACGCTCGACTCTCCTCGCGACGCTCGACTCTCCTCGCGACGCTCGACTCTCCTCGCGACGCTCGACTCTCCTCGCGACGCTCGACTCTCCTCGCGACGCTCGACTCTCCTCGCGACGCTCGACTCTCCTCGCGACGCTCGACTCTCCTCGCGACGCTCGACTCTCCTCGCGACGCTCGACTCTCCTCGCGACGCTCGACTCTCCTCGCGACGCTCGACTCTCCTCGCGACGCTCGACTCTCCTCGCGACGCTCGACTCTCCTCGCGACGCTCGACTCTCCTCGCGACGCTCGACTCTCCTCGCGACGCTCGACTCTCCTCGCGACGCTCGACTCTCCTCGCGACGCTCGACTCTCCTCGCGACGCTCGACTCTCCTCGCGACGCTCGACTCTCCTCGCGACGCTCGACTCTCCTCGCGACGCTCGACTCTCCTCGCGACGCTCGACTCTCCTCGCGACGCTCGACTCTCCTCGCGACGCTCGACTCTCCTCGCGACGCTCGACTCTCCTCGCGACGCTCGACTCTCCTCGCGACGCTCGACTCTCCTCGCGACGCTCGACTCTCCTCGCGACGCTCGACTCTCCTCGCGACGCTCGACTCTCCTCGCGACGCTCGACTCTCCTCGCGACGCTCGACTCTCCTCGCGACGCTCGACTCTCCTCGCGACGCTCGACTCTCCTCGCGACGCTCGACTCTCCTCGCGACGCTCGACTCTCCTCGCGACGCTCGACTCTCCTCGCGACGCTCGACTCTCCTCGCGACGCTCGACTCTCCTCGCGACGCTCGACTCTCCTCGCGACGCTCGACTCTCCTCGCGACGCTCACCTCTCCTCGCGACGCTCACCTCTCCTCGCGACGCTCACCTCTCCTCGTGCCCTCTCTTAGTGCCACTTCCTTCTCCTAGCACCACTTACCTCCCCATGTCTCAGATCATTAGACACAGAGATAAAAATCTATCAGAGTTTCTCTAACCCCTCACCCACCCCATCAAAAACAACATTTTGTCTGGCGTTGGCCTTCAGGTGCACACCCCTCCAGCATGGAACTTACCAGTTTAGCCTTCCCCACTTTCAGGCAATGCTGCTGGATGGACCACGTAGATGCATTAAACACGACCACCTTCCCCTCCCCCAGAGCGCACCACAACTTCGGGGAGTCATCCCGACCTGACTTGTCCAGCTGCCCTGCAGAGAGAGAGACCCGGGTCAGTGTAGCGGATGGTCAGTGTGAAGGAGAGATTACATTAGTATGTTCTGCAGATAACTACTTCGCTGTGGAATCCCAACACAGTACAATATGATGCCTAGCCACCTGATAAGCCCCCTTTGTGATAACATTAGTGCAGGCGACAGGTTCTCTTTAAGGAGACATCAGGCATCTGTCAGAACCCCCACGTCTCCTCTGCACTCTGTTTAAGCTGACTGAGCACAGGCTTTGTTTTAGGGATGCACCGATACCCCTAACCGATACCGAGTATTTGGGCGAGTACTCGTACTTGCCCAAATGCTGTGATACCAAAACTTCCGGTCAGAGGGAGATCTCTCTCCGATCGGCAGTGCCAAGGGAGCATGGAGCAAGCTTCCTTTCCAATCAGGAAGCCGGCTTCACATGTTGCTAAGCAGCCTGGCTTCCTAACCAATCAGGAAGCTGGGCGGCACGTAATGACCCGCCTCCCGGCTTACTGATTGGTCTGGAAGCCAGGCTGCCTAGAAACAAGTGAAGCCGGCTTCCTAGCCAATCAGGAAGCCGGGCGGTGGATCATGACGTGCCACCCAGCTTCCTGATTGGCTAGAAAGCTGGCATCACGTGTTGCTAAGCAGCCTGGCTTCCTGACCAATCAGAAAGCCGGACGGCACCTCATGACTCACCGCCCACCTTCCTGATTGGTCAGGAAGCCAGGCAGTCTCTGAAGCCGGAGTTCTTTTGCTAAAAAACGGTCTTCACAGGCAATCAGGAAGCCGGGCGACAGGTCATGATCGGCCGCCCGACTACCGGATAATCGCGGCACAATGTACCGGTACTCGGTATCGGCGAAAAAAAACTGGTAAAAACTGGTATCGGTGCAGCCCTCCTTTGTTTTATTGTATTTGGTATACCGCATCTGTTACGTTGTTACTTTCTTAAAATTATTTTAAAATGTTTGCAAAAACAAAAAAGAACAAGCGTCAGGGAACCTGTCAGAGCTCCTCAAATCTGGCGCTTTAGTGCGCATGTTTTATACCCTCAAATCTGGCAATACCGAGCCTGGCAGAGAAAGCCGGAAGTCATTGTTGCTCTGCGGGGGCGGGACTGCCGAACAAACATCCCGGGATGTGAGCAGTGTAGATGTCCCATTCATGACCTCACCTGGGGTATAGAGCAATACGTCCACAGGCTGAGTGGTGGTCTCCCCAGCCGAAGGGTTTATCCTGTGTTTCAGTGTCTCAGAGGTGGTCTTTGGTATCATCATAGGAACTACAAAAAAATACATAAAGGCAAATGAAACAATGTATGAAAACTTCGGGGCAACACATACACACAGCACACATCCATTAGCACTCTTGGAGGTTTTACAGATCACCACCCCCCCCCCCCC